TCACATGTGTAAGTAAAAAAGAAAAAAGCAATCTATGTATGTATGTGGGAGGCTTTAAAATCAAGCACTGCAGGGGCACTGGGGTGGCTCAGTAGGTTAAGCATCCCGATTCTTATTTTGTCTCAGCTCATGATCTCAAGGTTGTGAGTTTGAGCCCCAAGTTGGCTCTGTCCTGGTCGTGGAGCCTGCTTATTAACATTCTCTCTCTCTCCCTCCCCCTCTGTCCCCTCAAATTAAATTAAAATTAAATAAAATAAAGGACTGTATAAGCAACCAACTAAGTTATGCAGATATCACATGTTATTTTGATTACTACCTTTTGTTTATTACAAAAAGCTTCCAAAATCACAGACAAGGAAAAAAACTGCTATGTGTAGATAACTGGCAAACTATATCAATTCAGAATCTAAGTTTTCCAAATACTGATATAATCTCATTCTCAGTAAAACTGCAAATTTTTATAACAGGGTATTTAAAAGGGAAAACATAACTATCACCCTTATTTTAAAATTTTTCATTATAATTTACTGCAGAGAGTCAGAGCATTCTCTATTGAATTAAGTTATCATTAACCTCATGCATATTCCTTTAAAAGGGGTACACTATTTCTTCATCTTTGCCCAATGCCCTCAATTAATTTTTTTTTACTCAAGTTCCAAGGAACTCCTTTTACATATATATATATGTAAACAGACACATATATGTATACAAACACACATATATATACAAACACAAAATTCTGCTTGATGTATTCTCAAATAAATAGGCGCTAAACTGCTTAAAATAAAATTACTCCTATAGTACGATGCTGACCCACTAGAGAAAATGCCAGCAAGAGTGAGGGCATGTGTCTAAACTGCCTCTCTCCCTTTAATTATGCTGTGGTCACTTTACTGACCCAATTTACACCATTACAAAACTTTAAAACATACTAACTCATTTAATCCTCACAATAAACCTATTGGGGGGCATTATTTTAATCTCCATTTTACATTTAAGAAAAGTGAAACAAAGAAATAATAACCTAACTGATCTAAAATAACATAAAACTAATAAGAGGAAGACCAGGGATTTGAACCCAGACCAATGTTTCTGAAACTTAATATACATACAATTCACCTGAGAATCTTGCTGAAATTCAGTTTCTAATTCAGTACTTCTGCAGTACGGGAATGTAACAATCTTACCTGTGATGCAGACACTGCTGATCTGAAGATCACCCTATGAGCAGCAAAGCTAGTCTACCCTAGAAAATAGTGGCACGTGGTAGTAACCCGCAGGAGGTAAAGTTCACGCACAGTTAGACAATGAAAGCCTTATGAGGAAATCAAGAGTTGCCAGCTTCTGGTTTAGAACTTAATTGCTTCTTGTATTAATTTTGTTTTTAAAAGAAGGAGGTTAGCAAAATTTACAATATAATACCTTTCAAGTTCTGCAAGCACACACATCAATACTGTAGTAACCTAATACTATTACATCTCCCTCCAATAAGGCCCTTCCCACAGCCAAAAACTATTTACAAATGCCCCTGAATTTAACTTTAACACAGATTCAATCTCAACATATTGAAAAACAGTTTGAATGTGTATTTGTGCCTTCTCATATATGGAAAGAATTAGAGGTTGAGTTAAAAATCCAGCAACTTCCTAAATGTTTGCCACTTCTATAAGTGGTTACTGTGAGGACAAAGGCACCCTTTGCGAAACAGAGGGAACATAAATGTCTTAATTGCACATTACTCAACAATTCTAGTCAATCACTTTCTCCAAAAACAGATAGGGAAATGCCCATAACACAAGTTCCCTTCATTCTCATTGATGTATGAACTATTTATTCCATAATTTAGAATACAGTATGTAAACAATAAAAATTAAAATAACTACATAAATATTAAATCCCTAATGTTTAGAATGCTCTGGCCTAAGGAACTCCCAATACCTAAAAACTGAAATGCCATCAAATCATTGGAAATAACATTTTATCAAACTTTATTACTATCAGGAAAAGAAGTATCATTATTATCAAAATATATTCAAACCTGTTTAAAGCCACACACTTAATTCAACAGTTAGGTCTATCCTAAGATCACTCTCAGTGTACACATATTAGACACAGCTATATAACAGTAAAGGAATATATAACATAAGAAAAAGGATGTTTTATTAATAAAACACAGGAAGGGAGGAAGGGATCTAAGAGAATTCTTAGTCTCATCTGAGTAATTTTGGTTTTGCTGCGTTTTCTTGTATTTCAATCAACTTTTTCCTGAATGTACACAGATATACTTTACATTTCTTCCCTGAGGAAGAATTATATCTGTCACATACTTTGACAAGCTTGTAAAAATTATTTTTAAAACCATAATGGAATTCTGATTAATTAGCTCCACATGAAAGTCAAACATCAAAGTCAAAAAAGTATTAGATTTCATAGATTTCAAACAATATGAATTCACACATTTTAGAATTTAATATAGAATCCCATTTTAAAGTATAACATAAATTAATAAATTTAAACTGTACAATCACTGTAAAGCTAAAATCCTCACCCATGCACCAAATTACAAGAACACCATAATTGTATATGATATGAAGGTAAAAATACAACACAAATTCAGCCTTAGCTGTCAAAATTCTAAAATGTCTCCACTAAACAGTCAATATTCCAAATCCCTGCTCAAGGACAAGAACTAGTTCATCTTCCACCCAAAAAAATTTCTAACACTTATAATAAAAGACAAAGACGTATCTGGCTATTTTACATGTCAGGCATATGAAGAAGACCGTCCCCAAACTAGTAAGACAACAACTTCTCCCAGTTCCCTGTTAAGACTGATATTTTCTGTTTGTTTTTTCTTCAGTCACACAGCCACAAAGAAATTCAAATATTAAAAGAACTGAAGACCTGAAATATGTAACTTGCAATAGTTTACAATCATCACAAGTTGTGACCAGGGAAAGCACAGATGATGTAGTCCATGTTATTGTTCCCAAGCCCACAGGTTCGCTATTTCACTGATCACTAAATGTGAAGCATTACTTCCTGAACTGAAATGAAATATCGTATATAAACAGAAAAATAAACAAGTTAAACTTTCTGCCTCCTAGAAACATTCTACTTCCTCTACAATAATCCTCAGTGCCCTTGTAGAACCATTCCTGGGTTAAACATATAAAGCATACATCTTCATCAACAGCAACACTAAACTCCTGCTCCAAGGGCATTCAACACATCGTCTACTGGGCTCTATAGATTTATGCACGTACACTAGTTTGCGCCACTTGTAAGAAATCAACAGAAACCTTTAAAAATATTTGACCTTACATGCAATTTTAAAACATTTAAGAGTTTTGAATTGATAGATCTTTATATCTTTTATAAAGGGAAATATCAGAATACACTCTGCAAGGTAAGTGATTCTTCCAGGGAGCAAATTTAACTTGACCTCACTAAATGGCTACAGATTTGACATACCAATGAGAAGGCTGGAAGCAATACTTTTATTTATTCTCTAAAGCAGCACTGTTCAACAGAAATGTAATACAAGCCACATACATAATTTTAAATTTTCTAATAACCACATTAAAATGGTAAAAAATAAATAAAACATTCTATGTAACTCAACATATCCAACATATTATCATTCAAACATGTAATAGATACTTTTAAAAATCAATAAGGTATTTTACATTCTTTCTCTCATACTAAGTTTCCAAAATTCAATGTGTATCTTATACTTAGAGCACATCTCATTTTGGACAACTAAAGTGGTCAACAGCCACAGGTGGCTCATGGCTGCATTACTGGGCAGCACAGCTCTTAATCCTTTGAGATCTGACATACCACTACCTGTTTAAAATTATTTTACATTCATGTTTGCCTTTTGAACTGAAAATAGCTGATTATAAATATGAGCCAAACTGTTAATTCACTACATAAATCAGGATCAGATCACCTTATCTAAGGATCTGGTTAATACACACAAGAAGCAACTGAATTAAACCCAATTATATCTCAAGTAGACTTCAGAGATAGGTCTGATCATCACAAGTGAACACAACTTATACCAAAAATACAGGTAAGACGAGAATACATTTTCATATCAAGCCATAACTCTGCCTTATTCCTAGCCACCACTCTCGCTGTTGAGCACATATCTGTATGCAAATTATCTACAAAACTGCTTTTCCTAAGTTTGACGAATTTTGGAAGCCATATAGTCACTGTTGAAAACAGAGCACTAAGTAAGACAAACTGAAAAAACGTTTTACAAACTAAATTGTCAACCAGTTACTTTTAATGCACCTTACATCAACCAACAATTTTAAATTATTCTACATGAGTTTCACTGAAATGAATTCCTCCTACAAATTCCAGTTCATTTACTCCTTTTCATACACATATTTCAAGGACCAAAATTACTAAGAATTTTCCAAAGTAATTAAGACATTTGATTAAAATGTAAATAATTCCAACAATACATTCTCTAGAAAACAACTAAAAGCATTAGCTTAGCACATAAAATTTGTCCTTAAGGCACATTACCGAATAAATCAAACAGAAACTATACTCTTGCTTACTGCATTTACATTTTGTAACACCACATTCAGCAATTTCTAAATTTGGAAGGTCAGTTCAGATTGCACACAAACAGTAACTTTAAAGCTTAGCAAAATTTTAGAAGTTTCTGCAATGTACTTCTGAATAAACACTCTACAGAAATGTTACAACAGAACAAAAATCAGCACCATTCACACTAATCTCAATAAGGAGCATAAAATCAGTATATTCAGAAATCTAAAATGTATGATACATGCTAAAGAGTATTTTTTCCCCCAAACTTGTTTAATTCACCTTAGACAATTTTTATTTAATCCACTTGCAAAGCTGAAGAGAAGCAAATGTAGCTTCTTCCGCAGCACACATATCCAAAGCCGATGCATTAATCTCTTGGTATTTTTCCACATTTTGTAATCAAAACAACAAAATTTCTTTCTTACCTGCAGTTAGGAGGAGGATCAAGAGTTATTTCAGCTAGCTCCTTCTGAATTCTGTTAGTGAAATGAGAACAGACAAAAAGGATTTGAGATAGTCTACAGAATAACCGGGGAATTACACTGCCCTCTACCACCATGCAGTTAAATGCAAGGCTGGCTTTGCCTTCAGTAATGCTAACATGGCTGCTTCCTCTTTGTTCTCAGAGGCATAACCCAAATCCCTTAACAGAAACTTTGCAGCTCTTTTTCTCACTTGCTACTCTAAATAAGTATGACATTCACACCTGATTTGAGAAATAGTCCTCTACTAGTACTCAATAATGGCTGTAAAATTTATTTTAAAACACTTTTTACCAAAGAAATTCTCTTTTCAAGCTTATATGCAAATGAGACAAGAAGGGAGGAGGGAAAGCACTAGAATATTTGACAATGACTTCAAGTCACTTTTACAGAGGTAAGAATTAACAAGCTATTACATGAGTACATTAACGCTTCTGACAATATTTTATGTGAAAAAAAGTTTAAAATTTACAAACATCTTTACCAGGGAAAAACTTCTAAAGGACTCTGACATTCTTATTTAACCAATTGTTTTCCTTAACCTTAAGTACAGCACTAAAATTGAATAAATTTGGAAGGAAAGAAATAATAAGATATATAGCCTAGTTAAGAGGGAAAAAAGCAGTTCTCTGATTTTATTCAAATTTAAAATGCTTTCAAAACTTAAGATGTGTTTAACATGCTCCTCAACAGGATTACAGCAAATTGAGGAGGACTCTAAATTATTTAAAAGACTGCTGTTATTTAATAAAATATTCTCAAATTATTAATACTTGGTTATTGATAGAAGTGAAAGTCCATAGAAAAATAAGATTACTTCTAAATCACGACAGAACACAATATTTGAACAGTTTTTATATTTTCTTTTTCCTTTAGTTGTGATCAATAAAAATGAACAAAATGTCAATATTGGCTAATGCTATAGACATATCTGATGTATAATTAATAGAATTCATGGATATTCCCCTACTACTACCAATGGAGTCCCCTTGACAGAATCTTTTTTTTTTTTTGCCATCAAAGATAATATAAATCAACAGGAAACAAATGACCTTTCATATATACCCAACAAAATATGTTTCTTCTGCTGTTGAGTACTAACATGTCAAGCATATCCACAAGTTTCAGAGTGAAGAGTCACAAGCACAATGAAAGTTTTCAATAGCCACGTGCCACCCAAAATTGTAAATGGCTACTTTTTGGTTTTATTTGCATTCACAAGAATATAAGGCATAACCATAAGTTAGCTACAAAAAAGTAGTACCTGAGATGCATGGCTTAAAGTCATGTTTGTAAAATTGAAAGCAAATTTGGAGCAAAATTTTAAATCTGCTTTCAAATATAGCCAAGGCCTTGAATTTACAAATTTTCTAGCAAACAATCATTTCTAATCATTAAGTTTCATGGAGAAGCGCTGCTGATCTCTAGAAGTGTCAATTTCAAAGAAGAAGAGTATGACTCATAAAAAGGAACATCCTCAATGTACCAGCTAATTTGGGCTCACCAAATTTTCCTTGCCAACTCCTAAAACAATCTGTCAGAATGTTAGTCCAAGCTCTCTACTCAAGGACACTCTTACTGAAGTTACCAAAGTACAGAGTAAGTTCGCTTAAAAGTACAATTCCAGGGAGGTGGCTTATATACCACCTAAAGAATGACAACCCATTCAAGTGCAAATAAAAGTGATCACGAAGTAAATATTTTTGAACCAATGCCACTGATGTAAAACCAACAAAAGTGTCCAACCATTTGGAAGACAACCTGATAATGTCTTAATCCTTTTACACATTACCTTTTAGCACTAGTGGATAACTTAGCAGTGGTTTTGCTAGAGAGTTTGGTGTTTTTCTTCTGCTGGGTGGCAGAAGGTTTTCTTTCTTCCTGTTCTTCAGGCTCTGGAGCGGCTGGGTCTCGCTGGTCCGCATCTGAACTACCACTGCTGGTGCTGGGGCTCTCATCATCGGACCTTTGCCTATCACTGGACATCTTGGTGAAGTTATTTCTTGGAAAACTTTTAAAGAGAAAAGGGTGGGGAGAGAAAGGAAATGTTAAGTCTAAGAAATAAACCAATGGCATTTTCTTCTCTCAATATTCACCTAAAATCGTATTTTAATGCAAAACACTTCAAAGTGTTCACACTTATCTCATCACATAGCAAGGTTACAGGGGAGGTGATGTGTCTCAAAACACCAGCGTTCAAGGATTTACCGAACTCAAGTTAGAAAACCCACTCACATTTTTTTCCATCCCTTGGACAATCTATCAATTGTCTACTTTCTCAGAAGGCATGAAACAGATTTGCCAGGGAACTTAGGCAACGAGCATTAATAACATATGACACACTGTAAATAACAGATCTCGCTGAAAAATGTTAAAAAGTCACTAATAACGTCTAAATATTTACACACTGACATTGGTCAAAGCTACCAAATTCCCTTTCCGAGAGGAAAACATACCCTGTTAATCGCCCATATGCTTATTTAAGGTGGCGATTCCTCCTCTGTGCACGTAAGCCTTTAAATACAACACTTGGGAATTTAAAAATCAACTAACAAGCTGCTCTAGCCGTTTCCACGGCCAGTAGCGAAGATTCATCCGGCCAAGACCGAGCTGCCACCCTGGGAAAAGCAGAATCCAAACTGCACCTTCTGCAAAGCTCCCAATGCCATCAAGGTTCCTCGCTCAATTTTTACATCACGGACCGACATTTTGTCCAAAATAACGAAAAAAAAAAAATCAGGCAAAACAAACAAACAAAGCCCCAAGAAGTGCAACAAATTTCCGCGCCCGCGGAGGCGAGCCGCGGCCGGCGGCGGCGGCCACGCAGCTCCGCGGCCCTTTGTGG